AGGAATTTTTAAAGCCATACTGTGAAGCATTTTATCATTGTAAAAGCTCTATTTCTTCCATTGCTAATGTCTAATGTTCTTCAGATATTTTAGATAATGTGGTTCATATGATTGTTGATGTAAATAAAAAATTTACTTTGATAAGTGCTTTTAAATATAATCTTGAAATTAACAAGATAATTAAATTATATTAAAGAAATTACAGTATAAAATATTTTCTTCATCAAATAAGGCTTGAATTCATCATTCACCATGGAATATTTCACACATGATAGATTATTACAAACGTCAATAAGGAAAACTATTGCTGTTTTAATTCTATTAACAATAGTTTTTGTATTTGGTTTTCTTCTTAGCTCAAGTTTTAATGAAACAAAAGGTAAAATACGCATCCTATTTTCCTCCAACATAAAATTAAACCAAAGATCATCGAATAGTCATCAACAATCGATAAAATCATCTTATGGTTATAATACTACACATCTTTGGTCAATGCGTTTAGCTGATGAAAATTATTTTCATCTAGCACAACTTTTACCATGTCGTATTGTTGAATATTCTGGTGGACCAAAAATCGACAAAATTGATTCATGTGATCATTCATCAAAAAATGAATTTTCAATACAGAATATATTACAAGCCCAACATTGGCTTTATGAACATCAACATCCAATAGATTGTACGAATAAACGTTTTGCTATTATTCAAAATTATGCTTGGTCGGGTTTTGGATCAACCGTTCATCAAATTGTATGGGCATTTGGTACGGCAATAGCAGATAATAGAATTGCTGTATATCAAGTTCCAGGAAATTGGGTAAAATAGATTGATAACATTGAAATAAAACTTCAGTAATATCCTAGTGAACGTACTTAGTCGTGAGTACTCTACTACCAGTATTTCATAGAAACATTTGAGTACATAATAGGTTTTTTAGCACTTAACTAGAAAATGCTTCTAAATATTTAATCTCCTAAATAGTTGAAAAGCTCTTCACAGACTGTTATAAAAACTCCTCAGGTTATTGCTTAGTACCTACAGTGTATGTACTGAGACGATTTTCAACAGAGTACTCGGAACGGTACCCCGATGACAACTGAGCAAGTAGACGAGTACCTTGAATTCAGAACATTGAGTAGAGTAGTTTATTTGTGGAGTTACACTGATTGTGCTTTTCTTTTTCTTATTGAGATTATCTACAATTTTGAACTTATCCTTTTACAATATATGACATATGCTTACCGAAATTCCATCAGGGAAAACTTTAAACACTCCCGATGAAATAATTAATAATTCTTAATAATTGATTTTATTTTAGCTTTACGGCGCTTGTAGCTCAAGTACACCAGATTGTTTTTTTCTCCCTATAACTAATTGTTCAATTCCATCTAAAGTCGATGGTAATCAAACAATTAAAATCAATGCTAACATAGGTCATTGGCGCAAGCCTATTCTTCCACCTATATTTCAAAATCGAACATTTAATTGGT